TTTCGCATGTACCTGCGGGTATCTGCGATGGCTGTACCCTGCGTGTACCGCTGCGTAGTACCCGCGTTTACGTGCGTGTACCCGCGTGTACCGCGGTGCTACGCTGCCGTGCTTACCCGCGCTGTACGTGCGTGCACCTGCGTGTATCCCTGCAGTGTACGTGCGTGTACGTGCGGTACCTGCGGAAACGTGCTACGCTGCGGTGTACCTAAGCCGTGTACGTGCTTTGTACCCGCGTGTACCTGCCGCTGTACCTGCGTGTACCGCGCTGTCACCGTGCCCGCTGCTATCTGGCGTATGCTACCGCTTATACGCCTGCGTGTACGTGCGTCTAACTGCGATGTACGTGCACGTCGTGCTACCCGCGTGCACTGTGCTGTGTAGCTGCGTTGATACCCGCTATATACGCTGCGTTGTACGTGCGTCTACCGCGTGCTACGCTGCCGGTTTGGCTAATTCTGCGCTGTTACCCGCTTATCAGTGCGTAGTACGTGCGCTGTAACTGCGTGTACGCTGCGTTTGTACCGCGTGTACCGTGCGTGCTACCTCGCGTGTACGGTAGCTGTGTAACCCGCGTGTACCTCTGCGGTAACGCTGCGTTGTTACGTAAGTGTTACGTGTCGTGTACCCGCGTGTACCTCGCATGTACGTGCGTTGTACCTGCGTTGTACGCCTGCATGCTACCCGCTGCTGTATCTGCGTGCTACGCTTGCCGCGAACGCTGTACGTGCGATGTATCTCTGGCGTGTACCCGCGCTGCTACGTGCGTGATATCTGCGGCTAAAACCCGCTTATACGCTGCCCGTGTACGCTGCGGATGACCTGCGTGTAACGTGCGTGTACCGCGCTGTACGTGCGTGTACGTGCGTGTACCCGCGTGTACGCTGCGTGGATACCGCCCGTCGGACGTGCCGTGTTACCCGCCGGGACGCTCTCGGCCCTCCTTGTGTACGTCGCGTGTATCCGCGTGTACGGTGCACGACCCGTGTCGTGCGCGTGTACCCGCCTTGTACTGTGCGTGTATCATCCGTGTACCGCGTGTCCTCGCTGCGGTGTATCTGCCGTTACCCTCCTCTCGTGACGTAGCCTGCACTGAGCAGCCATTGTTTACAAATTGCCCTAGCTTAGCCTCGTTTTTCGTGCGAGTGACCCGTCCAGCCCGTCATGAATATATTTAAGACTGGTGCTCAACCAGAAACTGCGCGATGCGCAAAATGAAATCGTATGTTTGTTTACGAAACTGCAACGCCCGCTTATTTGGCCTCGAGGACCCAAGCATTGAATGTTAAAACGGTATTTCATTGGTCGCATGTAAACATGCATGAAAGCCTAAGTGGCTGATCGCTGTACATAAAGTCGCCAGTTTTACATTTCACATCTCGCATTATCGGCATTATACGCATTTCGCATCTCGGCATTTCGCCATTTCGCATTTACGCAATGTAGGCCTTCTGGGTTTCGTAGCACGACAGACATATGCGTGTTCACCTCACCGCGCTCATCAGCTGCGTTGTTGGTAGCGGTCTGTATTTTTAGCAATTTATCGGCTAAATTATCACGCTGGCTCCTCGTACCTGTTAGCACATCTGTCGCTGACAGCGCCACGCCCTGACAGGGAAGGATTTCCACTTGCCTCCGAATTTGCCCTCCAAACTGCCGCCTAGATCCTATTACAGTCAACCCAACACCTGCACTGTTGGACAGGTACTTTGGGCTGCATTAGTTGATTTGTCTGACTTGCTAGTGTGTGTGTGCGTGCGTGCTGTCGCGTGCGCGCGCGTGTGTGTGTGTGCTGTGTGTGTGTGTGTGGTGTGTGTGTGTGTGTGTGTCGTGTTGTGTGTGTGTGTGTTGTGCGGCGTAGTGCTGCTGTGTGTGTGTGTATGGTGCGTGCATGGTGTGTGTCGTGTGCTGTGTGTTGGATGTGTGGCGTGCGTGCGTGCGTGCGTGCAGTGTGTGTGTTAAAAGGCTGTGCCTGCGTGATGTGGCGTGCGATGCTCAATGCCGGGGAATGAACGCGAGGAGGCAGATACGGATTATGTTACTAATCGTGAGTAAGCATAACAAGCCGTGTATTCTGAGTGCGCTTGTGCGTGGCATGTGTGTATGTGTTCGTCCTGCTGCGAATTGCGTGTGTGCGTGAATGGCGTGTGTGTGTACATGTGTGCGTGCTGCGTGTGTGTGTGTGTGTGTGTGCCTGTGTGTGCTAGTGCGTGTCGGTGTGCGCCCTGTGTGTGAATGTGTGTGATGTGTGTTGCTGTGTGTGTGTGGTGTGTGTGTGTGTGTGCGTCCCGCATGCTGCGCGGCATGTGCAGTCGTCCGCTGTGTATGCGTTGCGGTGCATGTCTTGCGTGTGCTTCGTACGTGTGCTGCCGATGCATTAGCGATGATTATCCTTACTGCTATCGTCATCATCATCGTCCTCGCCACCGCCCAGGTGGAGACGATAGGCGACGCGTACATGGTCGTCTCGGGTCTGCCGGTGAAGAACGGCATCACGCATGCGCGGGAGATCGCGCGCATGAGCCTGGCCCTGCTCAGCGCCATCCAGAAGTTCCGCATCCGGCATCGACCGGAAGACAGCCTCAAGCTCCGCATCGGAATACACTCCGGTAGGTGGCGTCGTCATCGTTGCCGTCCCTGTTCCGTCTCTCTCCTTTGTCCTTCCCGTTCCTATTTAATCCGTTGTTATTTAGGTCATAGAAAAGGGGGGTATAAAATGGCCGAGGCGCGCGCTTAGGAAAGTACATGATTAATGTAAACACGCGTGCGTTTTTAGTTTTTGCATTAACCAAATGACTACAATCATATTTGTAAATGTTTATGTAAACAGAAACTCACCTGTGAATTGAAGTACGATGTTAGTGAAGAGAAATAATTATAGATCATAAACCTAGACTAGAACTATCGTAACTATGTTATATATAGGCAACTTGTTACCCCTCTTATCTACCTCAATATGGCGGCGTGGACTTTCCGATATGAATTATTATGAGACTTTTCCTCGCGGCATACTGTCGACCGAGGGACATGCACGTGCCGTGAGTCGAGTCTCTGACTAGTGTAACGGTTGCGGATGAGTTAGCTAATGATGTTTATTTATCTTTCCTCTCGCTGGACGTGGTGTCAGACGAACCATCGTCTGGCAACAGCGAGCCGACCGAGTCTATGTGGAAGTAGGCGCCAACGATTTTTTGTCCAAAACAAAGTTCAACAACAACCTTTACAAAATCGCGACGATATACAATTTCGGTGATCGCCTCTTTCTCTCTTTCTCTCTCTCTCTCTCTCTCTCTCTCTCTCTCTCTCTCTCTCTCCCTGTCTTTCTCTCTCTCTCTTTCTCTTTCTCTCTTTCTCTCTTCCTGTCTCTCTATCTCTCTGTCTCTCTCTTCCTGTCTCTCTATCTCTTTTTCTCTGTCTCTCTCTCTCGCTCTCTCGCTCTCTTCCTGTCTCTCTCTCTCTCCCTTCCCGTCTCTCTATCTCTCTTTTTCTCTTTCTCTCTTCCTGTCTCTCTATCGGGCTATCTCTTTCGCACTCTCTCTCTTTCTCTCTCTCTCTTTCTCTCTCTCTCTCTCTCGCTCTCTCGCTCTCTTCCTGTCTCTCTCTCCCTCTCTCTTCCCGTCTCTCTATCTCTCTTTTTCTCTTTCTCTCTTTCTCTCTTCAAGTCTCTCTATCTCGCTTTCTCTTTCTCTCTCTCTCTCTCGCGCGCGCTCTCTCTCTCTCTCCATCCCTCCCTCGCTCTCTCTCTGTGTCTCTCTCGCTCTCTCTTTCTGTTCTCTTTCTCTCTCTCTCGTCTCTCTCTCTCTCTCTCGCTCTCTCGCTCGTCCTCTCTCTCTCTCTCTCTCTCTCTATCTCCATCTCTTCTCTCTCTCTCTCTCTCGATCTTTCTCTCTCTCTTTCTTCCTGTCTCTCTCTCTCTCTCTTCCTCTCTTTCTCTCGTCCTATCTCTCTCTCTCACTCTTCCTGTCTCTCTATCTCTCTCTTTCTCTTTCTCTCTCACGCTCTTTCTTTCACCGATATTATTCTATCTTTCTCTTTCTTCTCGTTTCCTCTTCATTCTCACCGTTTTTAAAGTACCAGTTTGAAACGTGTAATTACTATCTCCGGCGATAATAGCAATCTAATGGCAGAAAACGCGCGACATAATTAATACGTTAGTTTATTAATTGGTTTCCAGAGCAAGGCGTCGTCGTGTGGACGTCGTTTCGTCGTGCGCGTGGGGGGCGGGGGGTATAAAGGAATACATGCACCGTCTATCCGTACAGGTCCGTCCGTTGCCGGGGTTGTAGGATTGAAGATGCCTCGATATTGCCTCTTCGGAGATACAGTAAACACAGCTTCACGCATGGAGTCAAACGGATCGTGAGTAACTCACTAGCGAAATGGTAGGTTCGCTTGCATGCCAGAAGTTTCCCACAGAGTGGCATAGGAAATCTACTCTGGGCATTGCTTTGGATTCTATACTTTTTGTCTATAGTCTATATGCATTTAATTGTTAGGGGTACCTCAGAACAGATTTTGTAAATAAATTGTTATCAGTGATCCTGTGTTTATAATAAGGAGAGCGCCATATAGCCTGCTGGGTGCAAAACTCATACCTCACTCCCTTCCTTCCCTCCCCTCGCCTCCATTGTTCCTCGCTCAGCCTCCCTCTCCTTCTACTGCTCTCAACAATCTTTCCTGCGTCATGTCATTGGTCTGCCACCCCTCCCTCTCCCAGCAAGCTATATTATGCAGTTTTTTCAGTCCGGACTGCACCCATGAAACGATGCTCGCGCATGCGCGATATCTCCCGAGAAGAATGATATTTTGCGAAAAATATGCTTTCAAAATGGAGAGAAGACATCCTAGCATAGATTTATATGATAACATTCCATCTGTAGACCTCTCTTAATAAATGGGATGAAGTCCCTGCATGTAATTCTAAGGTGCCGGCTGTATATACCAGTCAGTACACAATCTGGCCACGTCTGCATGTTAGCGCATGCGCAATATCTCACCAGGAGAGTTATATTTTGTTATCAATACGCATTTAATATGGTTATATATATAGGGGGAATCTCAGCACAGATTTTTGTAATAAATTGTTATCCTGTGGTAGTGAATCTTATCAGTGATCCTGTGTTTATGATTAGGAGAGCGCCCTAGCCTGTTGGGTGCAAAACTCATACTTGACTCCTCCCTTCCCTCCCCTCGCCTCCCTTGTTCTTCGCTCAGCCTCTCTCTTCTTCTACCGCCCTCCACTATCTTTCCTGCCGCATTTCGTCGGCCTCCCACCCCTCCCTATCCCAGCAATCTATGTTATTTAGTTTTCTTCAGTCCACACTGCACCACTGAAACGGTGCTTGCGTATGCGCGATATCTCCATAGAAGAAGAATATGTTGCAAAAAATAAGCATTTAAAATAGAGAGGAGGTACTTTAGCATAGATTTACATGATAATATTCTATCTGCAGACCTCTCTTAAGAAAAGGGAAGAAGTCATTGCATGTAAGGTGCTGGCTGCACATACCAGTCAGTACACAATCTGGCTACGTTAGTGTATTAGCACATGGCCAATATCTCACCAGAGGAGTTGTATTTTGTAATCAATATGCATTTAATATAGTTATGGGGTATCTCAGCACAAATTTTTGTAATAAATTGTTATCAGTAAACCTATCTTCATAATTACGAGAGCACCCTAGCCTGTTGGGTGCAAAACTCCTTTTCTTTGCCTCCCTTGTTACTCGCTCGATTACAGTTCTTTAGTCCTACGGATCGTTGGTCCTACGGGTCGCTGGTCCTACGGGTCGTTGGTCCTACGGTGCACGCAGGCACACGTATTTTTTGTTAATTGTTTGTTAATTTTTAAATTTTAATTTACGAACCCTGTCCGAAGGATGTGCGTTGTGCCTTTTGAAGCAGGAACTGTCCAATTCATTTTTTTTTTTAATTTTTAAATTTTAATTTTAATACAAACATTAATTTCATGACAATCGAGTAAAAAGTGCAGAAGTTACAGGTTCTAGAATATTTCGACAAAAAATGTTGTTACCATGGCAACGATG